TCTTGCAAAATGCCTTGTACATCGTGGGTACGTCTTCTTGAATGTTATGTGCTGGCTCCCAGGAGTTCTCGACATATTCAAGGCCACGCCACTTGATCTGTACTTCGTACGACTTGGTCACTGGGACATAGCGTGCGCTGACGATGGCTTCAACATCATGGCCCTCAGAGTTGTGTGAGACATGGTCTATGAAATCCTCTGAGAGTTGGAGGTCTTCATCGGCGAAGAACTTCAGACGGATTGAATGAGCTGGTCACTGTTCACCGGTCACCAGGTTCCTGACGTCGTAGACCCAATTACTAGCAACGTTTGTGACGACAGCTGGTCCACACCATGTCGTCCGCAGTTTGGCACGCTTGTGCATCCAAACATCTTGGCACAGCACGTAGTCGCCAACGACAAACTGGGCCATTTGGTCCCCAAGCTTGGCATCGTGCGACTTTCTTGCTTGCGCGCGTTTCTTAGCATTGGTCTCGGCCACCACCTTGTGCATGGCATCTAGAGCAGCACGGGCTTTGTCGATGTTGTCACGCTGGCTTGCGTTGACTTCCTCTAGTGTTGCTGATTTGGTTAGCCCAGGCAAGGCTATGGTGTCCAACGGCGACATCGCAGGGCGGCCTGACATCGCATTGACAGGTGCCACGTTGCCGTGGGACGGTGAAGGCAGCTGGTTGAGGATTAAAATGACCACCAAGTGGATCTCGCTCCACTGAGTCGTTGCCATACGCCACTCACTGAGACAAGCTCGAAGCAATTTGAGCAACATGCGCATCACCACTTTGACGGTACCATTAGCCCAGGGGCATCGGGCTGTAGTGAAGTGGTGGTGAGCTCCCAAGACATGTTGCAACTCAGCAATGACTTGATTCTTGAAATGGGTCCCTTGATCGGACACCCACTCGTAACATATAACACATTCCAAAGACAGCAAACCACTTCAACAGGCTTTGCTTGACAAAAACAGCAGTTGCTTCCTTGGTTGGGAACAACCATACCATCTTGCTGGCATCGCACTTGATCACCAGAAGGTACCTGTCGCCCGTCTTCGAGTCACCCATGTACACAAAATCCCAGTGCAGAAGACCATTGGGCTGGCTAGAATGCAGAGCTTCTCCAAGCGGCCGAGGCGTACCGCCCAAAACACTGGCACAGTGCAGACAACGGCCGACGAAAAAACTTGACATCAGCCTTCAGGGTGGAGCACCGACAAAACTTGGCAAGGCTGGCTAAGGTCGGCCCAGCTGGCCGATGACCGGCCAAGCTTGCATGGGCAAAAACACACAAACGCAGTTGTAAACCCGTCGCATCATCGGGAATCCACAACATTCCGTCCACCAGACGTAATACCCACGGCTCGCCATCATCCAGTACCACACGATGCTGGTCCTGATCGCTAAGCTCGCACACGACAACGGGATCTGGGGGCGTAGGGTTGTTAGCGAGGCTGTCTCGTTGCGCTAGAGCAATGGCAGCCAACGTTGGCCACTTGAACGAGTTGCTCCGCAGCGGCGACACGAGCAATGACTCGCTTGTGATAGCACAGATCGACTTGCGCGGTGAACCCCACTGGGATAGCAAGTCAGCCCATACATTCGACTCTCCAGGGATGTCATGGATCTCATAGTTGTAGCCCATCAACAGCAGGGCCCAGCGCTCCAACTTCTGCGCTGTGTACTTTGGCACGCTAGCAACGACAGCGGTGGGACTGAAGATGAACTTGAGGTTGCGGTGGTCGGTGTAAAGATTGAAACCGGCCGATGGATGCAGCAGGTAGTCCGCACGCACCAAGGTCTCCACAATCGCATAGGCCTCCTTCTCCACAATGGACCACCGGCTAGCGGCCCCAGTAAAGATGCCACTCAAAAACATGAGGGGCTCGTGGTCCTGGTTCTCCAAGGGTCGACTGAGCTGGCTGGGGTCAACTTGGGTTATCACAGCACCCAGTGTTCCTCCGAGGCATCCGCGAACACACACAGCCGCATGTCGGGCTTGGGATGGCTAAGCTCGACGAGGTTAGTCAGGGCTTTCTTGGTCGCTTCCACGGCAGCCACATGCGATTCATCCCACCCAACATCAGCAAGTAACACGTCGAAGCTAACTGTTCGGTCCGCTTCCCACCAACAGCGGCGAACACTCGCTCCAACAGAGCAGAGAGATCTCGAACCAGCACGTTGAAACCAGGGATGGACATACGCATCCAGTTGGGTGCACAAACATACTGTTGCAGATCGCCGTCCGAGGTGATGGCAGCAGCTGGAGTGCGCTGACTCGAGCTGGGACGTGCTTCACACCAGAACCGCTGATAATACGACCACACCACTTCGCTTCACGCACGAAGAACTGGCACTTCTTTGGATGTAGCTTCAAACCCTTCACTGCACACACTTCCAACACCTCAGCCAAAGCACGGAGCAGCCCGGCGGGAGACGTTTCATAGCCCAACAGATCATCTAGCCAGGCTAGCAAACATCGGTACAGCTGGCCCGCAAACATGGCCTGAACAGT